TTGCTCTCTGGCATTCCTATCACTGTTTTAGTTCCCCTAATCTCAAACACATCATTTACACAAATTTCATGTGTTCTACATTTATGTGCCAGATTTCTGGTACAGGTCGGAGAGGTCGGAGGTCGGAGATTTTATGGTATGGAATACGAGACGTAGTATTCTCCACCAGCATTAAAAATTGATGATATGATGGACTTCCCTACTTCCCGCTAAGCAAATACAGTTTGTATCTACTGCGATTAGGTGCGTACGACAAAACACCAGTAACTGGAGGCATTTGGCAAATGAGTGTGAAAGGTTAAATTATCCGTTTTGTTCCGGACGAAAGTACCAGTGTACCTGTTATCGTCAGGACAGGACGTCCGACAAATTCTGGATATCGACCCTTCGTATATTTACAATCTTTCATATATTCGGGTTCTGGCTGAGAATGACGCAGCTTTTTCAGGACGCCATTCCTGAACACGATGGATATAGAGAACGACTCATTGTCTGCGCTTGAAGACGAAGTTACTAGTGCCCGCGCTAGTACGATTTCGACGAACTCGCGTGCTTCCTACTTAAGCTCTACAACGCGCTTTTTAGAGTGGATGATAACTAACAAGCGCTCGTTGATTCATGACAGCTTTGGTAATGCAATTGTGTTTGATGGAAATGGGAAAGCAACTAGGAATTCGATCAAAACTGCATTGTCCTCGGCACCCTTGAATCCACCTATTCACTTCGACCAAATTACCGCGCACGACTTCATGACATGGATCGTCTCAATGGAAAACGCAAATGACACCTATCACAGCTTCTCAACTTACGCTGGTCATCGTTCAGCATTTTACAACCTTTTCAAGACTATCACCGTGTGATGCGATTGGATCTGGCTCATGAACTTAGCAGCCATTTTAAGGGCTTCCAGCGCAAGGTAGCTGCAGTTGTGAGTCGAGATCAAGGTCAAATTAAAGTCGGAAAGGATCCCATGTCTTTCGGTCTATACAGACGCATTGCTATGGAAATGCTTCTGAGTCCATTGCGGGACATGGTTTTTGCCCGTACATTCATGGTACTGCCTTGGAATTTGATGTCAAGAGCAGCAAATACGGCCTCAATTTGCTATGGCCACTTGGAGTGGCGTGAAGATGCACTATGTGTGTATTTTTGCTCATATGAAGAATGACCAGCGTGGTTCACGTCCTCGCGACCCGCGCCACGTCTATTCCAATCTGACAGCTCCTGAAATATGCCCCATTCTTGCGCTCGGTAAGTGCGATAGTATAACTACATCCAAATTGTTGTACATGACCCACCCGTCTTGTGACTTACAGGTGTATACTGGGCTTCGTACGGCGTTGATGACAGCGACTTGCGTTTATTCCCCGGAAATGACCAATATGCACGCTTCAGAAAAGCCTTAGGGCGCGTATTAAAGACCATACCAATCGCAGATGAGCTTGAGCGCCGTGGAACAAGTGCCACGGACATCGGAACTCACTCTATGCGTAAAGGGGCTTCTACGTTTTGCCCCTCTGGTTCGAATGCATGCCCACAAGCGGTAGCAGTCCATCTTCGAGCAGGTTGATCGATGGGTGGAGTACAGGACCGCTACTTAAGGCACGATGCCGCTGGTGACATATTCGTTGGCCGTACAGTGACCGGTCTCTCAATTTTACAGCCTGAGTTCGCAGTTTTACCTCCCCATTTTGCTGCTGGTACCGAAATCATCCAGAGCGCAAAAAGGCTCTGTTTTCCTGGATTGCCTGAGTCAGTCGAATATGTTGACGAGGTTGCTTTGGCATCTTTGGTTTACCACATCGGTTTTCTTCGGGAGAATTTGCCGGACACCCACCCTCTCTTTCAGTCAGCCCTGTTTGCCAATGTGGAATTATTTGAAAGTTTACGTTTGAATGTTGATACTAGTGGATCAGGATGTGCCACCCAACCCACCGGTGTTTCACCGCACGTAACAATCATGACTGAAATTCTCGAGGCAAGAAATGAATTACGTGAAGAAATAATTGCGCGCAAAGCTGACATGCAGAAAATTACTGAATTGCAGAATGAACTATGTGGTCGTTTGGTGACTGACGTCTCCAAATTATTGGAAGAACGCGTCTGCCAATCTGGTGTTCCTACTTGCAATAGTTTGGCCGACTCGGTTATGAAGCGGCTGGAG